ACACTGACAAAAGTCCTCTGGATCAGATCTTCAAGGCTGTGCTACCTAATCTGTTCGGATCGATTGCAGCGAGAGCTGAGCCTTGCTGAAAAGTCCTGTGCCTTGCTGAAAAATAACCATGCCTGCAGAGGGAGCAACTATAAACCAATTTCCAGTTCACTTTGTATAAATAGAAGCCAACCACAAAGTACCTTAGAAAATGACAGTATATACTACAACCAGAACACAGAAATGAATTATAACCCGTCTTACTGTTTAAAATTTAGGACACTTCTATCTAGAGTAGCAACGTGCTGTGAAAAGCTTCAGGGGAGTTATTTGTTCTTTTTTTTTCAATAAGAAACATGTTGTACTTGTCTGTAAAGGGGCCTCCCACTAACTCTGCTGCCTCGTAGGAAATTAGCTATTAATATTCAGCATTATACAAGTCATGTTTAAAACTTGATTTATGAAATCTCAATGCTTCTGATCTTCCAGGGGATCTTCAGAAGACTGCAGCTGAATACACTGAAGAGCCACTCAGCTATTTGCTGGCTAAGTGTGCAAATGAAGAACAAAAAGATGCCCTGCTATTAAAACACTATCTTTAACCATAGAACTGCTTTTCTAAACTCTATTTAGATAATTGTTATCAAGAGATTATTCAGAGCACTGAAAATGTACCACAGACTTCAACTACCAGGCAGTGTTACATGGCAGTCATGGCAGGGCAGAAACACGTGGTAGATGAGAAATTACTAACACAAAATGATTAACACTCTGCAAAATGAGATTATTGGCAGCTATTTAACTCAGTGCTTTAATAATCAGAGGGAGGGAAAATAAAGCTGGAAACAGGCAGTAAGAAAACCCACGAGTAGACACGGTAATGCTGCTCTACGTGATAGAAACTGTACAGAGCAGGATTAAATAAGGATTAAATAAGTTCTGCAGAGAAAGGAACACAAGTTCAAGAGCACAACCAACCTCCCTCCAAAAAGAGTGAGACAGTGAAGTCCTGGAGACACAAAGGTTATAGAGAAGGAGGCTAACTCATCTTCTACACCACAACAGACAACAACAAAATTAATTCCTGTTCCTGGGTGGGGAGGAGGAGTTTGATTTGAGATGTGCCTGGTTACTATGCAAGATACTTAATGGTCTGGGAACCAGCAAAGAAAAGATGACAAAACCTAAATAAATTTATACATCAAAAAAAGATAGACTGAGCAAGAGAAAATTAATGGAATCAAAATAAAGCTAATAAAGGTTTCTTGATGGCAATTTCTATCAATTCTTTCAGTTTATAGCCTGTTTTACAATGGTTTCACTACCTAGACTAAAAAAAGTAAAACAATGCTGCCTTTTACTCAATGAATGGCACATCCTGTTTTCACTATTCAAGGGAACGGTACTTGGCCATCTCAGTTACTAACATTTTAGTCCCTCTAATATTTTAACACTATTTAATCAGATAAAGTAAATTTTAAATTAGTATGAAAGAATATTCAAAGTTAAGTGAAACTGTTTTTAACAAGTATGATAAACCTAACTCAACAGGAAAACTCCATAGACAAAAGTGTACATCCTGGCCTGGATCAGCACCAGTGTGGCCAGTAGGACCAGGGAAATTCTCTTCCCCGTGGACTGGGCACTGGTGAGGCCACAGCTGGAGTGCTGGGTTCAGTGTTGGGCCCCTGAGTCCAAGAAGGACATGGAGGTGCTGGAGCGTGTCCAGAGAAGGGAACGGAGCTGGGGAAGGGTCTGGAGCACAAGTGTGCTGAGTTCCCTTGTGGCTGAGGGAACTGGGGGTGCTGAGCCTGGAGAAAAGGAGGCTGAGGGGAGACCTTGTGGCTCTGTGCAAGTCCCTTGGAGGAGGGTGGAGAGAGGTGGGGGTGGGTCTGTTCCACCAAGCGACAAGCAGCGGGAGAAAACAGCCCGAAGTTGTGCCAGGGAAGGTTTGGATTGGATATTAGGAAAAATTTCTTTACTGAAAGAATGATCAAGCATTGGAACAGGCTGCCTAGGGCAGGGGTGGAGTCCCCATCCCTGGAGGTACTTAAAAGATACGTATATGTGGTGCTTAGGGACATGGTTTAGTGGTGGACTTGATAATCTTGAAGGTCTTTTCCCACCAAAATGATTCTATGATTCTCTCTCTCTCACACTCACATGAGCTGTTCCTCCAGCAAGCAGTATTAAGAATATACACAATAACAATATACAGATCAGTCCACACTCTGTTCCCTGAACAAGTCTTCTACTCTTCCCTCCTGCCCCATTTGGAATTTGCCAGAACAAATACATATTAGCACTGACCCACCCATGTTTCTTCTAGCCTTTTCTTAAACTGAGGGCTTTCCACACCAAGGCATGAGGTCATAAACCTCCTAGAAATAAAGGCTGCAGTAATTAGTAACATAAGAGTTTTAGCACCTTCACGCGAAACTCAGCTATCAGCTTTTCTGAATAGCCACAGGACAAGGCAGTCATTAAAGACTGTCCATTCCTAAAATGGAATGGGAATTTTTATGGCTTTATCTTTTATTTTTTTATGGCTTTATCTTTTACTTTTTTATGGCTTTATCTCGTGGCACATAAAGAGAATTGGGCTGCCTGGTGACCCTTCAATCAGAAAGCTAAATCAGTTCTCAGAGCACCTTAACTGGGCTTACCATTTATTTTGTAATGATCAACAGCCCCTTATCTGGACTCAGGATCTATGTCAGATCACTCAAAAAAAATATCTTCAAGCTGCCCTCCACAGACAGTTTGATTCTGAAGGAGATATCTCGAGTGTCCTCATTTATCTCTTTTCTGCTTTAAGCTCCAAATCTTAAAAAAAAAAATAAATTTTAGACTCTCAGTTTCACAACTTCTTATCTAATAATTAAACTTAACTGCTGCCAGCTTCTGGGATTATCAAAGACATCTCAGTTAAGACTAAGAAAACACCACTGAGGCTGCTGACTTAGGTGGGGGTGCAGCATTACATCAAGCCATGGGGCCATAATTGAACTCAGAGGCAGCACTAAATGGAAAAAACATCTCTTTGTGAAGCACCAGCTTGGCAGGCTCCCAGAAACATCTACGCTCCTGCCTGGGATACAGCAACACATCTTCATGCTTCTGTGTAATTCAGAAATTATTATTTTCCTCAATGGCAAGATTTACATTGAAAAAGCTCTTGATTTCGTGGTGAGCAAATGTGCATAACCACTCAAGGCTCTCCCAGCCTCCCCCAGCCTTGCCTGCACTCTGTTTCCTTCCAGCACCGCTGCACAAACACTAGGAAAACCAGGTCAGGGAAAGGATAGTAACCAGGGAGGGTGGAGATATTTGACACGAGCCTTAACCACCAAGTCATCCCGCTGCACACAACTCAACACACAGCAGTGTGACAGAGCATGTGTCACAGAGCGTTAGAGTCACCCCTGTCACATAGCTGACGTTAATTAGTACATGTGAACTCTGTCAGGAAACCCTCATCCTACTGTTTGTCATCCACACCTCAAACAGTTCACTCATGAGAACCTGCTGTTGACTTGTAGAGTCACACCTCTGGCTGCACCAAATCTTCTGAGGTGCCATGAAACTGCGGGGCTGATCTGCCCAGACACAGAACCTGGAAGGGAAGCTGGAACACCAACATCTTACATCACTAACAGGACGTGGTTTGAACTTCAGAAACTGCCTCAGGATGCTACATAAGCAGAACCAACTGCAATCACACTGAATACTGTCAAGATGTCAGAGCTCTTCATTCAATAGATTCCATATATTAAAAACCTCATTTTTTTTCTTTACCATTCAAGAAGACAGTAAGTTTAATTTGCAGGTATTTTTAGGCTGACCTACAGTATAAAATCATTAAGGTTTAAAGCAGGCCAAAGCAAAAATGAAAGAATACCGTCACAATACTTGAAACCAAAACTCATCTATGGATTCAAGGTGTTTCACACAGTCCAGGACACTTAGAAACAGCTGAAGATCAAACTTCCTGCCTGTAATATACAACACACTTGAACAGAACAGTGCCAAGAACCTCAGTTTTGAGTACTGTATAGACGAGTACACCCTTTAAATCCACGTGCACAACTCAGAGCAGTTAGCCAGAATTAATAAACCTGTGTCTCTCTCACACCACCAGACAAAGCTTCAGGGGTCAGATATCCTGTACGCTGCCTTTCTGTACCCCTCTCAGTTACAGGAACACTAAGTATCCGGCAGGATTACAAAGACACAAAATGAAAACAAGCTACATCGTTTGCAGCAGGGAAAATAAATTAAAAAACTATTAAGGAAAACATATTAAAGGCCTTAAAAAAAGAGAGAGAGAGAGAAAAGATACTCTTCCATACCCCAATTTCTTATATGACAGCAAAGCACAAATTAATTTTATATTTCAGGAGTAATGCAAACTGTTCGTGTTTTTAGCTCCAGTCCAGGACTACAGTTATCAAAATTAAACAAAAGGTTGGGTCTAAGCAAACAGTTTTTGATCCAGCTGCACATACTGACCACGGACTTACAACCTATAGTTTATTTACTTAAAAAAAACAAAATATCAAGTAAGTTTTACGTTACTCACAGAAGAGTGCCGGGGAAGGCAGGAGGAATCGGAAGCCTATGTTAAGATGTCAGCTTACAAGGTGATTACTAGGAATAGTACCTTTTTCATCCTGTTTTGTTCATTATTATGATTCCTTGGCAATCTAGTAGCAAATCCAGATTCCATTCTTAGCATCCTACACTTTTTATTATGAGGTATGCCTTGCTCTCAGTTTTAGTGGAGCCATCTTCTATGACCACACATTAACAACACACAGGGCTCACATCAGCTGAAGGCGTCACGCAACAAAGAGTAAGAGTTCTATTTACTTCACAGGCCAGTTAAAGAACATGGTTAAAAATCTTAGGAACACACAGATTATAAACTGTTTTTCCCCCCCCTGCCACTTTTAATACTAACTTCAGTTCTGCTCAGTACAGAAAGCTTAAGAACTCTATATACAACTTACTCTTGCTATTCTTGTCTTGATTACGCGCTCATCTTCTACCACGTACTCAAGACCTTCTCTGAAGAGTTGCAGCATTTTGGGAATATCATGTCCCAGGGAATCTAATTAAAAAAAAAGGGAGCAAAAAAGTTGTCTGAGTAATGCTTATTAGTGTGGCTAAATGTGGTATTACTAAAGAGAGAATTCAATCTTTCAATTAAAGCAGTTAAACTCCAATCAAGAATGCAGTTTCATGGACAAGGCAACGGTGTACTCAGATATGGCATATAAATAATTTCTGTATTTCCTCGTTAATCTGCTAGACATGAATAGCTAATACAGCAGGAAACGTAACAAAGGCTTCACTTCAAATACAGAACCTGTTTATGTACACATAAACCAAAGCTTTATTACCTAATGCAATTGAAGTAGCTTGAAAGATCAAAACCTACTCAGAACAAGCTCCGAGTCTTCCTTGAAAATGAAGTCTGTGACTATGTAATAGCAAGGTTACACCCTACCTGGAACAGGCTGTCCTAATCCAGCCATTCCCACAAGTCAAGACAATCACTTCTCATTTGACAGATTTACACCATCACTCAATTGCTTCAAATATAAGTATTAATTCTCCCACGCATATCTTTTGATGGCTCCAAGAGAAACTGACTCTGGATAAAGCTACAAACTAAAGTCAGTTTAAAATGGCATAATATAGCTTTAATTTGTTCCAAAAAGTATGTGGAGTATTCTCTGTTGCAACGTTTTGGGACAGGTTAATAGGTTTGTCTCAAATGTTTAGGACACAAGTTGACCTACAAGCCTGTTTAAGCACACAAAGCCATCTCTCCCTCTTTATACTTACTGCTAACTTCAAGCTAGAGCTTATTGGACATGAGGTTTCTTGCTCTCTCTGCCTCAGTCACTGCTGGAATGAAGATATTTACATAAGTCTTAAAAAAAACATGTCTTGTAGCTTGTAAAACATTAGGGAAGTAAGAAATATGGTTCAAGACTCAGTGTTTCACACCGCTGGCACGGGCTCTATATTTGAAAAACAGCCTTTCTCCCCGCCCCCATCTATGAAATGGACCCTTGACACAAAGCTAAAATAAAATAAGTCAATAAGGAAGGACAAAAGTATTAAGAGACTGATGTTTGCTGCTGTGAAAACCTAACCTGAAGAAGAAATGTCTTGAGCATGATGAAAAAGGAGAGACTGCACCAATAAGGGAGGAGGCTGTACTAAAGAAAAGCATCATTAACTCTGTTGCTGAGTAGCAATGAGCAGGTAGAAGGAGCAGTAGCAGTCCTGAAGCTGGGATCCCAACAACTGCACAACGGTCAGACAGCACAACTATCTCAGAGAATATGTTTTTTTTCAAGTGATTTCTGTTTTCTTGAGTAACTTCACAACACTATTACGATTCATCAGGACTAACAAGCATAAGGGCAACTAGCAGGCAAACTCGTCTCGATTCTAATCCCACATTTGCCTGTTGCAGGAGAAAAGCACAGTTCTTGATTCCTAAAATAACTCTTACCTAGGACAAAACAACTGGTTCAGTCACATACAGCCCAAAAAACTCAACTTCATTATACATCCTCATCAAAAAAGTTTCAGTGTCACCTCTAGAGTTTTATCTCGTTCAGGGCTTGAGACTGGTAAGAAAGAATGGCTTCTTACGTCTTTTTGTGCTTGGGTATTTCCGCTTTAGTTTGTTCCTTAATGGTATCAGCTTAGGTATTATTGCAGGAACAGCCACATAGAAGTCCACTTGGATTTCATCTTCCAAAATCTGCAATTAAAATAATTAAATATATTTAGGAATGCAATAAATTATCTCAGGACACAAGTTGACCTACAAGCCCGTTTAAGCACAGAAAGCCATCTCTCCCTCTTTATATTTACTGCTAATTTCAAGCTAGAGTTTACTGGACAGGAGGTTTCTTGCTCTCTCTGCCTCAGTCACTGCTGAAATTGAGATATTTACATAAGTCTTAAAAAAAAAAAAATTAAAAAATACCCATTTGATTAATTCAACTCCTCCTACAACAGCAGCTCCATTCTCTCGAGCTATTTCAGCTTCTTGCTCATTCTGTTGAGAGAAAAAAAAATAAAAATTAGTAACATCTGTATTACTGATCAGTCTGTATCAACAGCACTGGATAGGGGATTTATCTTGGACAGCCAGCTATAAAACCAGATTATTTACAGACTATTTAAGAGGCTCAAAAGGTAAGAATTATTTAAGACAATCCAAGACAAAAAATATCTAATGCTGCTGATTTAATACAGGAACAGCAACTCCACTCCAGGTCCCACTAAGAAGTAACAGTCAAGTCTTTAGCTGAATTCTACTGCAGAAAAAGGAGAAAAGTCCATCCCATTGGCTGAGGAGCTCTATTAAAAGCCATTTTCTCTCTCACCTCCACTCCCTGGAAACTCTGATGAACCATCCACTGGATAGAGCCAACACCTTACTCTAAGCTTAAAGAAAAGCACAGAACATGCTACTAAACACCACTGTAAAATAAGGCTATTGAGCTTCTGAAAGTGCTATTAAACTTTGGCTCCAATGGGCATTTAGAAATTAACCTTCATGGCAACAGTTTCATAAAAACTTGGGCTCAAGCTTTTGATACAAGCAGATACTTATGACTCAAAGCCAGAATCAACTTTTCCTCACAAGAATAAACTGATTAACTCCACGCTTCCATCCAAAAGCACTAGCAAGTGTTTCAGTTGCACAATCTTTTTTCACATGTACACTTTCACAAGCCATTGGATTTTCTTACCCCACGTGAATTTGAGTGAAGAAAGAAGCTTCCTTAGTCACATCTACGCAGATGTTTACTCCCCGAGTACACTGGTAGAATAATCTACGTATAGGTTAACTTATCAAATGAAGGAAATCCTCTAAGATGCTCTTTAATACATTAAGACCCTGCTGAAGATGAATCCTAGGCAGACTTAAAGAGTTCTGTAAAGCATTCGCAGAGTCTTCTCAATAAAAAGTATAGATAGTACTTGCATGGGAATCAGCTGTGTTGCAAGAGCATGCTAGATACATAAAACATACAGAGCAAGCAACTCGGGCTGACCCACCTCTGTGAACACCAAGACCTTATTTGTTTCATCTGTAAAGCGATAGGGAAGGAGAACGTTGCTTGCAAACGGATCCACTTTTTTCTAGTAAGTAAAGAAAGAAAAATATTAAAGCAACAACAACAAAAAAATCATTACTTCAAGGCAAGTTACACAATCACATGGAGTTGGTCCCCTAAATAGCAATCTTACCCACAACTTCCTTGCACAGAGGTCATAACAAACAAGCACGATGCGTAAGTTTTGACGGCTTTTTTATGTTTGGTAGATACTCAAATCTAAACTTAAAGAGACATGAATTCATTACGCTGCAGTTTGCCCAAGAGAAAGGGGCTGGGATCAGCAACTGCAGTGCAGGGTAAGCTGCAACTCAGTAACAAACGCTGAGGTGCTGTTGTTGCATCTTATCTAAATGATGTTTCTGATGTAATGGTCAGTTCAAACCATCAGCAAGGAAAGTGTCTCTGAAGCCTTAAGAGTCTTACAACCCAGCCTCCAAAAGCAGGAGTCAGAGCTTTGCATTTCTTTAAGCACAACCTTATTTTTTAGCTCTAGGGGACCCCCAGGTATACCAAAGGGATATTTAGTTACACATCGGAAGAAACCAACTCTCGAGTGGCCTAACTGTCT